CCCCGCCCAGTTTCTGTTTTGCCCTGCCCCGCCCCACCCCGCCCAGCCCTCATTGCCATCCCTAACCATATGTGATTCCAATAAGAAAGAGTTAAAAAAACACAAAATATTCATTAAAATGCAGAGATTTGAAAGAAAGTTGTAAAAATGTATCAAACAAAAATTATTGAGAAATTGATTATATTTTTGTTCAACACTCTTTCGTCCAATATTTAATGTTATTCACATGGTAGAGGATGCATAGGGGGGGTTTATAGTAGTGTGCTATTGAAAGTACTACCTTATTATTAATTTATCTATTCCTAGTCCTAAGGGTCTAAATGTGAGAACTTGTCAATGAGGAAGGAGATTTTAATTTTATGCTTAGGTTGGATCAAAGAATTAACACAATTAGCTCATTCAACGTTTTAAATTAAAAACAATGAATGACTATGCATTATGTTAGGGTAAATATAATGAATAAATATGTCCTCCTTTGAGCAATGCACACTTTCCCAAAAAAATCTTAAACAACACAATTTAAATCATATTGTTCCTAATTGCTTGTCCACCTTTGGATTGACGTATAAGAAAATAATGATCAACATAGTGAATTTATCATTTTACCCCTATTAATTATGAAGTGAATGAATTAAAAATTTAAGATTTTCAAGAAGTTCAACCATTTTCAAAATTAATTAATTGAGGGTATAATTGATAAAAAAAAAATTCTTTCTTGATTTGTCAAAAAGGACAAGTAAAAAAGGAAAATTGGACAACTAATTACAGACAGATGGAGTATTTCCATTATTGTCGTTTATGATATCATCATATAACTTTGCAATTAGTGCAATTTATCTCCTAGAAAATATCAAACTTCATTAAAGAAAAGCGCAAATATAAAAAAAAAATTCTTTCTTGATTTGTCAAAAAGGACAAGTAAAAAGGAAAATTGGACAACTAATTACAGACAGATGGAGTATTTCCATTATTGTCGTTTATGATATCATCATATAACTTTGCAATTAGTGCAATTTATCTCCTAGAAAATATCAAACTTCATTAAAGAAAAGCGCAAATATAAAAAAAAAATTCAAAACTTTCATGTTGAACTTTGAACAATGAAAAACTCCAAAAATCCAGTTAATATGGAATAGTGGGAATACTAATAAGACGAAATAAAGAAAATATGCACTTGACCAGACTTAAAGGGTAAATAATTTCAAAAATTCAAGTTTGAAAAGATGAGTGACAAATTATATCTTGCTCAAAAGCAAACATTGATATCTTGTAGAATAATAAAAAATTTGAGTATGTCAAAAATAAGAATATGAAACTAAATCACAATTTAAGGACTTTATATACCGAATAGTAACATGACACATGCTACATTGTGGCACACAAGTCCTCTCCATGGAACAATTATGACTTGTAGATGTTGCTTCTATTAATTTGATCACTTTCTGTGAGAGGAAAAACAACTGTGATCAATAAGACTCACCATTGGTTAGTGTTATTCTGGCACTAATTTTGTGATCCAAGAATGTAGTGAACCATTTCAACATGCTCATAGACCACTCCTGCAAAGCAAGCCTTCAAAAGAAGGCTTGTGGATGTCTTGGACTTACTATGTACATTGTTGAACTCAATGCCATTCTTGTATGACAACATACTTGAAACAGGCTGCATTGTGATCAATAAGCCTGGATGCCAAACAACACTGATCTAATCAACTCTATTCTGTCTAGCCATCCAGCATATGATTCTGGCACTAATTTTGTCCGCCAAAGATTGACACCAATCAATAGTGAGTCTTTTAGTGGAAAATGACACATCTATAGTATACTTTTAAAGATACTTCACCCACATCATAGTCGAGTATAGTGATATGATTGATTCTTGAGTAGAGTTGTTCACTCCACCAAAGTAAACTCGACTCTTAAGAATGTCAGCTTTAGTAGAGTTGTTCACTCTACCCAATCGTTTCTAAATTTTTTTTCACATCTTCATAATTTGGCTGAAGAAATTTGTGACTGCAGCATCTATGTTACAAAGTACAGATAAGTATTACACATCTCAGAGCAAGCTATTGAACGAAATCGGCCTTTTGATTACTAATAAGCCCACAACATGTAACAATGACAGTGAATATCCACCTCTCCTAACCGACATCACGCAAGAAAAAATATAAATACACAGAGAAAAAGTATAACAACAAGAAAAATTTTGATCATGAGAGACCTGTTTGATGATATTCGATTTAAGTACTTTAACAAAGCACCTTGTGCACCTTCAACATTTGTTAATGACTCATCTATGTTATCGTCAATTCTTATAGCAAGCTCACCTTGTTGTGCAACCATCGTAGCTAGATGTGTGAATATTCCGCCCAATTCTGAAATAGTTGATTCAACATTTTGAAGAGCAGTTGCCCTACTCTGAGAGTAACTTTCTTGTCTCGGAACCTGATCTTGTAACATGGACATTTCCATTTCGTTAGATGGAGGATTGTCTGAAGCCAATCTCCGTCTTAATTGATTGCTGCCCTGAACATCATTTCCACCACTTCCTGATGTAGGAATTGACCATGGAGGTGGCTCTGCTAAGGTCTTTGGAGGTTGTTTCAAAGGATTTTCTCTAGAGAGATTTGTAGAAAATATTTGTTTTCGATCTTCGTGAGCTTTCATGTTCTTTGTCCTTATAGTAAGTGCCTCCTGGAATGATTTTGTAGCTGCCATAAGTCTCGTCTTCAGATCATCACAAATCGCAGTACAATGAACAATTGTATCTTTTGAATGAGTTCCATCAGCTACATCCATGTCTTGAAGGGCTTGTAAATCAGAAACACCGACATTGAGTGATGTGATATCATTCTTTATGAAAGTTGTCAATTCCTGAATTTCCTTGCTTGGATCGTCAAAAATCGATGATCGTTTTGCCAATTTAGCAAGCCTATCGATTTTCTGAAAGGTTTGATGGATCGTCAACCCAATTCTCGATGCCTTCTTGTTGAATTCAGATCGATCTGGAATTGGTAGTAATTTTGTGGTAGAAGAAGCAAAATTCTGTTGTGATTCATGATCTGATCCGGTACTTCCTGCGATCTTCTTCAATGTTTTGGACAAAGACGTGAACTCGGAAGTTCGATCTCGATAAGTCCAAGCTCCAGAAGACGCCATTGCGCTATCTAATTGCAAATGGGGAATTTTTTTTTGTAAGATTTGTTGTGGGCTATTCTTTTTAACTTTCTGTCTGTGCTTAGTCTTCTGCATCTAGTTATAGTTCCCTTATGTTTTGGGGGCTAGAAACAAGGGTGACTTATTAAAATTACTTGTATTTTCATATATCATATATCATATATCATATCATATATTACTATATAAGAAGAGGGAATAACCAACCACCACAAGTCAACATGTGTTCCAATAAGAAGAGGGAATAACCAATATATTTATAAAAAGAAATGACATATAAAATGAAATGGAGAGAGTATTAGTTTTTGAAAATGGAAAAGGACAAAACACATACTCCCTCCGTCCCTTTTTAGTTGTCCACTTTAGAAATGACACACAGATTAAGGCAACAATGATTAACACAGTGAAGTTACAATTTTATCCTTATGACAACTTTTCACTTCAAAATTAAAACCACTTATTTGAATTCAAGTGAAATAAATTGGAGGGAAACAACATACACTTTTACAATTTTCAAGAAGTGTAAATAAGGGTATAATAGGAAAAAATTTGTTGTCCTTTCTTGATTTGTCAAAATGGACAACTAAATAGGGACAACTAAAAAAGGAAATATGGACAAGTAAATAGGGACGGAGGGAGTATAAAATTAGGACGGAGAGAGTATTAGTTTTTGAAAATGGAAAAGGACAAAACACATATAAAAAAAAAGTTGGTTTAACTCTCAAACATAAAAAGTAACATATGTTATTAAAAACTTTAATAAAAAGTACTATAATTTACAATAAATAATAACTTAAAATATCTACAAGACAACAAAAAAAAGACTAATTTTTGTACTGCTTGTGTCACATAAATTAGGATTGGGATGATTTTAAAATTTTAATTTTGGTTATACATTATAAAATAGCTGAAAAATTGAATGATATAATTTTTTTTAAAGTAACCGAATGAATCGTCCTATCGATAACCCTAATGTTACTTCTACTCTGTTTATTTTTACTTAAATTTAGAAAGATATGCTTCATTTCTACCCTCAATCTTATTGCTACATTTATTTGCTATTTAAAATTGAAATTAAAAAGACAAATGACAAATAAGTTTCTATATTAGCTCACTTATGAGCAAAATATATTATAACAATCTTTACTATTTTTATAACAATACATAAACTATACTCCCTCCGTCCCATATTAGATGGGCACTTCCAACTTTACACGGTGATTAAGAAATCATTAATACATTGGAAGACTTCACCATTTTGCCCTTTGTTTATATCAATGCACATTGAAATGAGTTACAAAAAATACACATACAATATAGGAATGGTCATATTAATTGTAGGGGTAAAATGGAAAAGAATTAATTAATTCTATCCTAATTTAATAAGTTCTCAAATAATATGAAAAAAATATTTTTAGTAAGATTCTCATCTAATATGGGACGGAGAGAGTAACAATATAACTTTATTAATGTTGGGCCCGGCCAGCGCCCGGGCTTTCTTTACTAGTATTATTATAAGTGCGAACAAAAAAAGTTAAAAGTTGAATTATGATTTTACCCCTATTATAAATTAAAATGTAATAAAAACATTTAACTATTTAATTTAAATATTAAATTGTATCATTTTAATAAAAATGTTAACGATTTTTGCACTTCCTTAGATTAATTCCTAATTAAAATATCTAATTTAATAATATTTATCATCTATAATCTATATGTATATTAAAATTTAGTAATCATATCATCATCATATCATATATCATATTAGATATTATTATTATATTATCACATTTCATATATATATATATATTATACTAAGTAGGTGTTTGGCCATGCGATACCATATCACGATATGGTGTCGTGAGATGAAATCAGCGTTTGGACATGCGATTTTACGCTGATTCCATCTCATGATTCCATATCATGAGAGGTGATACCATATTCTCCAAAAACCATGATATGGAATCACCATGTGATTTCATATCATGGTTTGAGATATTTTAATATAATAATTAATCCATGAGTTTATATTTTGTTAAAAACAACCCCACATTTATATCTACTAACCATTTGTTTCATATGTAAATAAAATTTATAATCACATCATTACTTTTTAAAATTTATTATTACTTTAAATTTGGTGAATATAAATGATAAAGTAGAAATTCATTTGGTGAATATAAATAAGAACGAAGGGAGTAATACTTTTTCGATTTTTCATAATAAAAAAAAACGTCTTAATCTTATGACTAAGCATAATATTGATAAAAGACAATTTTCATTGGCGGTGCCGCACTTTCTTAATCTTAGTATTCGCAAAATGTTCGTTCACATGACTGAAGAATATCAAGTCCAATTGATTGAGGACTTGGGAAAATTTGATCAATTAGTTATTAATATTTAGTCAAGTTAGTGTATTTAACTTCTAAGTTAATATTTACTCACTAATGTATGTTTTTTTTCTACTTTATAGGTTATTTGTAAGAGTAGTTGAGAGATATGAGCATATCAAGTACAATTTATGTTCAATTTTTTAATTAAATTAAAGTTAGATGAAACAATTACTTAAGTGAAGAACAAATAACTTTGTAATAATTTATTATGCGATTTTATAATTTTTGTTTATTTGATAAGATTGAATAAACAATTGAGGCTATTTTAATAGTTTTACAACTTATGGAATTTTTATGTTTATGAAAAAATATACAACACAAAAATTCCATATCGCATGTCCAAACAAACCTTCAATTTCATATCATGATTCCATATTATGATACCATATCATGATTCCATATCATGATACCATATCGCATGGCCAAACGGGCCCTAAAAGTGGAAAGAATTTTAGGCAAAAGTTAGATTACCATTTTGTACCTATATCAAATACAAATACTATTAATCAACTAATAAATTGTTAAATAATTATTAAATAGTAAATTTTAATTACTACGAGTTACACATTAAGCCAATATCAAATTTATCAAATTCTTTCGGTTACAATTTATTCATGTTGTATGGTGAATTAATATTAAAATTGTTATAAGTAATTATTATCAAGAAGACAAACAGACTCCTAATTAACTTGTTCAATGAATTATAGGTGAAGACCAAAGGTTACATAATTAAGTAGGACACTGATAGGCCTCTTTTATTTTTTTCATTTCATCTCCCTTCACCTAAGTTTTTCCTATTTAAAGTCACCTAGAAAGGAAAATGAATTTACAAATCTCATATCTGACCTTCTTACTAAAGTATGTTAATGTCAATTCTCTCTTATAAATTAAGATCCATTTTCTCATCTTTGAAATATCATTTCTTTCTTCTTTTTTGATTTCCTTTCTGGTCATAGGCATAGACCGCGGAAGAAAAGTTGGCATCAATTGTAAAGAATGTTTAGAAGGAAATAATACTTTTGTTTTATTATGTTGTATGAATTACAACAAAATAATGAATTATTTGTACTATGTTATGTAAAGCGCTCATAGTGATGACCATTTGTAAGTGATTTTTGTATTAGTTTTAAATATTATTTTCTTATTCCTTTTTAGTTAAATATGTTCTCTTCTTATATAAAGAAATTTGTGTCTAGATTACAACCAAATAGATATTACTTATTTAGACTTTATATAATTATTGGCGTGGAACATGTAAAATATTATATTTCTTATTTCCAAATGAAATTAAAAAATTATCTCAATAAAATATTAGATATTTTATTATATGCCATATCATTTGTGTTTTACATGGATAATATGAAATATTTGGCAGATATGTTGAATGACTATACATGCATTTATAATTAGTTCATTATCTCATGAATTAGTATATTGCCTCTTTAATTAATAATAAAGAGATCTAAAAGTATAAAGTTCATTATCAACGATCCATATAAAATTAGATAACTATTTTAATTTTCAAACAAACACTCCTATTCTAACAATTATATGTGTAACACTAATTGATAAAAACTCTTCCTATATCCACCATCATTTATACTTTTTAGTGCAACATAAATCCTATAAATACTTAACATTTACAAGTCAAACATTATAATAAGATGTCTAAGGACTTATGTGGAGCACGATTGCCATTTACTATAAGTTTATAGTAATGGGTACACTTGACTACACGCGCGATGCGCGTACCTAGAAACTAGTATAAACTATAAAGACCAAATTTTAGTTAGAGACATTTTTGGTATTAAATTTACAAAATGATGATAGTTTAATGAGATAAACGGTAAAAAAAATACACCTAAATTATTCTTTTTTTAGTTTCGTACTTAAATTATTGAGAGTGTGAGTTTCCTACCTAAACTTTCATAGTTTGAGAACATATATCTCTCTTTTATTACACTCTCATCATAGTGTGTGTAATACACTCTCTCTTTTATTTTAAAAAATGGTCACAACACACTCCACGGACAAAATATTCCACCTTGACAAAAATTAAATAAACAACTTTGACCGAAATTGTTGTAACGATACCAAACTTTGGAAAAGACCTTTTACCCCCTGCACTATTTAATAGTGTATTTTAAAGGTATATATGTGCCCACGTGGACATCATAAATATTGCATAATTATAAATCGTAACGTGTCACGTGGGCACATATATACCTTTAAAATACACTATTAAATAGTGCAGGGGTAAAAGGTCCTCCATAAAGTTTGATATTGTAACAACAATCTCGGTCAAAGTTGGAGTATTTTTCAGACCCTTTTTCCCTTAAAGTTAAGATTAACTAATATTTAGTTATTTAATACTTAAATCTAAGTATCAAGCTTATCTATCTACATTTTCTAATGTCGTAGAGCCTACAACCTATACAGAAGCAGTAAAGGATCCAAGGTGGGTTGAAGCCATGCAAGCTGAGATACAAGCATTGAAAAACAATCACGCATGGACAATTGCACCACTGCCGGAAGGGAAGAAACCTATAGGTTGCAAATGGATTTTCAAAATCAAATACAAAGCTAGAGGAGACATAGAGAGATTCAAGGCAAGACTAGTTGCCAAAGGGTATAGTCAGACAAAATGTATTGATTACCAAGAAACATTTAGCCCAGTAGTGAAGATGGTGACACTTAGAAGAGTTCTTGAAATAACAGCAGCCAAACA